GCCAATTTTTCTTCCTCCCCTCCCCCTCCCCCTCCTTCTCCTCCTCTTCTAATTTGTTTGAGACAGGGTCTTGCTATGTGCTATCAAGCTGGCCTTCAACTCACTATGGAGCCCAGGCTGGCCTTGAACTTGCCATGATCTTCCTGCCTCAGACTCCCAAGTACTGGGATTACAGGCGCACGTCACCACACCGGGACTGCACTTTTCTTCTTATGTGCAGAACATTTTTCCCAGTGGAATCTTTTTTTTTGTTCTGGTGCCAGGGATCGAACTTGGGACCTTGCTCTTGCAAGGCAGGCGGCGGAACCACTGAGCTAAATCCCCAGTCCTCCCAGTGGAATCTTATGGGGATTCCCCAAAACAGATCAAAGCAGAGTTGCCCTGACTAAAGGGAAGACTGAAGAGTCCCAGCTTAGCCTTTTCCTTGTCCTCCTTGACACCAATCAGACCCTGGTCCCTGAATAGAATCCAGAGCCTGGAGAAAAGCCCTGTGGTATTCCCAGCCTCCTGAGCCTGCTCTTTTCATGGCGGCCCGCTCTCTACACCAGATTTCTTGTTCCTGAGGCTCTCTCTCCAGCTTTAACCTAGTCTTTGATCTTACTTTCTCTCCAAACCTGCAGGCCCTTCACCATCCCCCAGGTGCTGAGAACCAAAGTGCCCGCAGAAGGGCAGGAGGAGGAGGATGAAGAGGAGGAGGAGGCTGAAGACGAGGGCCCCAAGGTACCTCCTTGGCAGGTGGCAGGGGAGGGGGTGGCAGATGAAGAAAAGGGTGCAGTTCTAAAGCTTTGATCCCCATTCCCTCCCTGCATCTGGCCCTGAGGCATCCCCAGCAGCATTGCTGGGGAAGGGAGGTCCCTTGGAGCCCAGGCTGTCTGCCTGGATTGCTACTGGCTTAACCTTAATTGCCTGGTGAGGGCCCAGGGGACAGATTAGAGGCTGGGCCTCTGAGTTGCCAGGTTCATTAGGCCTAGGAGCCTGGGGCTGAGAGGGAAGCTGTCAGTTGCCGTGCCCAGAGTGACAATTCTTAAAATCAAAGAGAAGTTAAGAGTCCAGGGGCCTTGGAGTTCATCTGTACCTATGGGTTTAAAAATTCTGGTTTTTTAGCAGCTAAACTTTTTATTCAACTGAAATATTAACTAGAATCTTAACATAAAACAGATCAAAGCAGTATTGCTCAGGTCAGTGGGGTACCAGCCTGGAACCCTGGAGCCCTTGTGCCTTCCCACCAGGTAGACAGATCAGGTGTTTCCAGGGCCAGGTCACCAGAGTGACTGAGGAGGCTCCTGCTGGGAACTGCCCTTAGTGGTGGGGAGCGTGCCCTGGATGAGGAGGATCCCGGAGTTTCACAGATTTCCCTTCCAGCCCAAGGAGCAGCCCAAATTTTTATACAAAATCTGCCTATTTTCACATACTACTAATCTTGGTTTTTTGCTTTGTTTTGTTTTGTTTTGTTTTTTACCACTGGCCACCAAAGCACACTTATGACCCTTAGGTCATCGTTTTTCCTGCGCTGGTCCAGGCTTCCTGCAGTTGTGCATAGAAAGCTGTCCTCAAGGACAAGTGCTCCCATTGTACCCTGCTGGTGGCATCAGAGTGAGGCCTGGCCTCCACCTCCCAGGATAAGCCAATGAGAGGAAGAAGGGCTCACTTGGCCTTGTGTGGGCCATCCTGCCCTCCTCTTCCTTGTTCCCATTTGCTGTTGTATTTGTCATTGTCACACTCCAATTATGGTCCATTCACTCCAACAGCCTGTCCAGGAAGCCTTGGCTCTTCAGCTGCCTCCTCTTCCTAATGGGAGTCTTAGATTATAATAAGTCAGCTGCATTCCTGGACTCCCCCTGCCTGCCACAGCTCCCCCATGCCTAGCACAGGAGCATCAACAAGATTGATTCAAGCATGGTCCCACCATAGCTGAGGGAAATGGGACAGCTCATGTAATTTTGTCTCCTCTTCCCTCCACAGCCTGACCATTTTGTGCAGGACCCTGCAGTATTGAGGGAGAGGGCAGAAGCTAGGCGCATGGCCTTCCTTGCCAGGAAGGGGTAAGCATTCAAGGGGCTAACTCTGGTGGGAGGGCCACCGAGGAACCCACACATAAACCCAAATTTCTTCTTGTGTATTAATGTGGCTCTCACAACAGCTCTAGGAAGTAGCTACTATTATCATTATCCTCATTTTACAGGTGAGCCCAGTGATGTTATGTTAAATGCCAAAGGTCACACAATAGGTGGTAGACCAAAGATTTAGCCCAGTTCAAGCACAGTAGCACTTGCATGATGCTAGGAGTTTGGGGCCAACCTGGACAACATAGTGAGAACTCATCATTCCCCCTACCCACACCCCTGGGGGATCCAACTCAGGACTTTGGGCTTGCTAGGCAGGCGAGGTGCAACTGAGCTACATCTCCAGCCCTAGAACTCATCTCTTAAAAAAAGAGATTGAGGGCTGGGGATGTAGCTCAGTGGTTTTGCCACCTGCTGCGCAAGTGCAAGGACCTGAGTTCCATCCCCGATACCTACATATATATATACATACATGTATATTTGTATATATGTATGTATATATATGTGTATCTATGTATGTGTATATATATATATGTGTATATATATATATTGAGCTTAGATCACTCAGCTCCGCTTTGGGGTCTCTCATGTTCAGGACTTGCTAGTATCAGACAGAGTATAAAATGTGAGAGAGCCCAGTCAGCCACACATCCTTTATGGCTGAGAAAGGTATGATAGAGACACAAGAGCTCTTAAACTGGGTCTTCAAGTGTGGAAAAGGTGCAGAGGAATTTGACATGGGTGCAGAAAAACAAGAACACTTGCTCAGGGAGGTCTTTAAAAGGTAGCTTGAGACTTCTTTGTCTAGCCCCCTCTTCTTCACCCTGAAGAAACAATTCAGGGGGACTGAGGATCTGCTTCCACTTAAGGCCAAGCCAGGGGTATTAGCCCAGGTGCTCATCCTGGGACTCACACAACACTGCCGCCTGGCTACAGGAGGCCTCACCAGGAGGCAAAGCATTTGATCTCACTCTGAAGACAGGGAAAGAGCCACAGAAGTGTTTTTGTTTTTGAAGAACTGGGGATAGAATCCAGGGCTTTTGCACTGAGCTACATCCCCGGCCCTTTTTTAAATTTTGAAGTGGGGTCTCACTGAGTTGCTCAGTTACCCAGGTTGGACTCAAACTTGTGATCATTCTGCCTCAGCCTCCCAGAGTGCTGGGATTACAGGCACCACTATGCCAGATAAGAAGGTTGAGCAGGGAGAAAAGCCACTCTGACTTATTTATCCCAAATCCCTGAGCATGGAGCTCTGCAAAAATCCTAGCAGTTGAGATGGGCTAAAAAGATCCTAGGTTATATCGATGAGCGCATTTGGTCTTTGGAGTCCTCTAAGCATGGCTCTTAGGTGCAGAACAGGAGAAGTGTCTTACCTGCAGCAAGTGGCCCTGGATGGAGAAGGGAGGACACACCTAAGCCCTCCTCCTCTCCACATAGGCTATGATCAGCCCTCCAGTTTTGCTCCCCCACAGCTTAGCAATGGGCCCACCTGGAGGTGAGGCTTAGAGAAGAGAAAACACAGGCAGAAGGGCTGGCCAGAGTCCCCGTGCCCTACCCCTCACTTCCCCTCCCACCTAAAGTTGGGCTATAAATGACCTGCCCTAGGGTGTGTGTCCTTAGCTAGTGGCAGGCTATGGGTTCTTCCCAACAGAGCTCTTTTAGCTCATGGGTTGTCTGGGGATGGATTGTTGCTCCCTCAGGTACCGGCATGACAGCTCAACACCAGTGGCTGGCAGCCCCCGGGGCCATGGACAGAGCCGGGAAACAACACAGGAACGCCGGAAGAAGGAAGCCAACAAAGCAACAAGAGCCAACCACAACCGGAGAACCATGGCTGACCGAAAGAGAAGCAAAGGCATGATCCCTTCCTAAGGTGTCCTCTCCATCTGGCCCTTTGGGGGCCCCCAACTTCAACTTGATCCCTCAACAGCCTCAGCTTTGCAGCCCCTGAGAAGGCCACCTCGTTGCCCACCAGCCATCCAGGAGCACCTTCTTGTAGAACACACAGTGCCTTATCCCTTGGCAGAGGAGCCCACTGGCCAGCAAGAAACCTCTTTTCCAGCTGCACTGGTCGGAAAGGGCAGGGGACAGAGCCCCAAGACAAGCCCCCCAGACCTTGTGCACCGGACACCACTTCCCTTTACTCCTGGATGGCTGGAAACCTGTATGTTCAGAAACAACACAAGGCCTACAAATAAAGTTTCTGACCCTTTTCAGCAACGATTTGTGACGTGACATGATCCACTCCCATATCTTGTTCTGCAATGACAGTTGCCAGCTGGAGGACAAGAGGGCAGGGCAGTCCCTGTGCTGTCTTTATTGAACTTTCTTGCTTGCCTCTCCGTTTAACCCTTCTTCATGTTGTTCTGCCTTGCTGTGTGACCGTGAGCACACCAGACCCTTCTCTGAGCCCCCAGTTGCTGCCTATGGAAGGAAGAGCTGGAGAGTGGACGGTTCTGTGGCCCTTTCCATTGTCTCATTCAGTCCAGACAACCTCTGCCCTAGGAGGTAGGTACTGTTTTCAGCCCATAGTACAGATGAGTAAAATGAGGCACTGAGGGCTGGAGTGCCTGCCCAGGCCACAGCCAGGAGCTGGCAGAATTGGGATTGGACACTCAGTGTGACCCAGGACCCTTATGGGTCCTAGACCCCTGTATGTGATATTATCTCCATCTCATAGCTGGCCCAAGGCCATGTGGCCAGTAGTAGAGCCAAATTCAGTGCCTCATGGTTGTACATACACTCTATTAAACCCTCCAAAATCCAGTGACTAAGAAACAAGCAGGGATGCCCAGTTGAAGTGCATGGGAGTTGGCCTGGTTCCTCAAAGTTCCCTCCCAGGTGTAGCCAACCAGTCCCCAGTGTGGCAGTGGCTGCCAGGTCTCCCAGAGCGTCACTAATCAATACAGATCAACGGGGCATTTGCTGGGCTGATCTTAGCCCAGCTTGGCCTGGGGCTCATCAGTGGAAGCCAGGGCCCACGCCCATCTGGACCTTGACAAATCACCCTGGGTGCTAGTGCCATTTATTTGCACATAGTCAGGATAAGCGTGTGAGGCAGAGGCAGACAGGCGCTTGACGGATTGGTTTTGTTAGGTTATCCCGCACAAGTGAAAATCAATAACAATCCCTGTGTCTTGTGCTTCTCTTGGTGTGTTTGAGATGCAGAGCAGATCTGGGGGTGGTGTCCTCTCTGAGAGCTGCAAAATTAGCTGAGATCAGGCCCAGAGTCAGCCATCCTGACAGGCAGTGGGAAGACTGTTTCCTCCCAGAGGCATTTTCCAGTGACCAGGCTCCTCAGACCCAGTTCTTTTCCCTGGCATTAGGCAAGGGACCCTGGAAGCTTGGGCTTTACCTGCCTTACCTGCTCACACAGCTCTTCCCACCTTCACTTCATCACCTGTGCCTCCCAGCCACTCAGAATAGTGTTCAGGTTTCCCAGGAGCCTTCTGGCTTAAAGGGTCTGAAAAGGCCATTTTTCACATTTTCAGAAAGTAGTGCCGAGTCAAACTTAGTCTCCCTTGAGGAGCTGCTGCTTTCTGCTTTCAGATCTCAAGGGCAACCATTCAGGATGCTTTGAAAACAGCTCAGGGGCCATCAGAATGGTGCTCACAGGCACCCCTTCCCCTCAGGCCCTCAGTATTCCCATCTGTGAAGTGAGTGTGTTAGACCAGACAGGTAGTTTTCTCTTGGTGCCAATGAAATCCAGGGAGGAGATTCCCAGGTTTAAGACTGGCAGCTGCAGAGTAGGAGTAGAGTCAGTGGCTGCCCTGCCCCTGCCTGCTCTGTTACTAAAGCCGGCCACCCTCACTGCTGCTCCTATGCAGGTATCTTCTAAGTGCCTTCTCTGTGCCCTGGCAGAGAACATGATTATCACAGATGTTTCCTGGGAAGATTTTAAGATCTTGTGCCTCAGAGAGGACTTGGCACCTGGATGTCTTTATTTGTAGTCCTAGAATAGCAGTGGTGGGGGGCATAGGCATTTGAACAGAGCTTCTGTGCCCCTGTGAAGAGTGGGGTAGAACTGATCATTGTTTATTAAAAGGGACCCAGAGGGCCGGGGATTTAGCTCAGTGGTTCCGCCACCTGCCTCACAAGCGCAAGGACCTGAGTTCAATCCCCGATACAGAAAAAAAAGGGACCCATAAAAGGGACCCAGGAGCCCATTGAGGAAACCTGGGCAATTAATCTGTCCAAAGCTGGTGGCACAATCGTAGCAGAGCCTGCACGCATGTCCTTTCTGAGTTGCCTCTTAAAAACCAGCCCGGAGGAGGAAATGGTTGGCCAGAGCCTACATGTTGCTGTCACACCAAGAGCTTGGGGAAAATAGTACAGGGAAGGAAAGAAAAAGCAAATAAAGGTCAATCCACAGAAAAGGCAGGGGCTGTTATGTAGCCCTTCAAAATGACATCAACAAAGACTTGGTAGCACCATGGGAAGGTTTTTTTTTTTAAGAATAAATTTAAAGGGGCCGAGAATTTAGCTCAGTGGTTCCACTGCCTGCCTTGCAAGCGCAAGATCCTGAGTTTGATCCGCGGTACCAAAAAAAAAAAAAAAAAGAATAAATTTAAAAGCAGAATACACAATGGTATGATGCATCATGATTGTAAAAATGTAAAAACAAATTTTTCTTGCATATAGACCAAATCTGGAAAGGAATGTACATAAATAAAAATAAAAGTAAGAGTGTGAGTGATGGTGGTAGTGAGGCCACACAGATTTGTAATAATAAAAGCCTTGCTGAGTACCTGCCATGTTTTGGGTATGTGCTGGGCTCTGTCCTTTCATTCTTTTGTTTACTCCGGCAAGGTGGGAACAGGTGAGAAAACCAAAGTACAGGGAAAGTTTAGGTGACCAGCCCAAGATCACACAGTTAGAAACAACCCACGGGCTGGGGATTTAGCTCAGTGGTTCTGCCACCTGCCTTGCAAGCACAAGGTCCTGAGTTCGATCCCCAGTACCAAAAAATAATTTAAAAATGAAACAACCCAGGGAAGATTTAATCCCAGATTGTCTCCTAATGCCTACTTTATTTTTTTAATGGTGCTTAGGACTGAACTGAGGGCTTTCACATGGAACTACATCCCTATCCTTATTTTTGTTTTTATTTTTATTTTGAGACAAAGTCTTATTAAGTCACTCTATGGCCCAGACTGGGAGTGAATTTGCAATCCTGCTGTCTCAGCTTCCCAGAGTGCTGAGATCACAGGCATGCCCTACCACAACCAGCTAAAGCCCCACTCTTAATTCCTATATCCGAGCCCTGCCATTCTTCTCTTTCCCTGATCCCATACCTAAAATGACAGAGGAAAACACAAATGAAATAGCTGAACAAGAAGATCCAGGGCAGGGCCGGGGATTTAGCTTGGTTCTGCTGCGCCTGCCTCCCAGGCACAAGGGCACAAGGTCCCGAGTTCAATCCCTGGTATCACACACACACAAAAAAAACAAAGATCCAGGGCAGAGTGATAGGACTCCAACTACATGTGTATCCGAGTATTTTATATTGTCCCTCAGACATCTGATTCTCTGTTCTATTTTCTTCACTTTTTTTCTCTTTTCATATTCATTTCTCCTTTCCTCCTCCATTTATTTAGTCTCCTTTTAAGCCCACTGAATGATTCTTCATTTTAATGTCCAATCCCTGTTCAGGAAAAAAGGGAGAGGGTTAGGGCATCCTCAGGTGGAAGGGGGCCTCAGAGTTCGGACTACAGGCAGACCAGACCAGGTCCAGGTGTTGGTCCAGAACAGCTGAGCCGTCTGTTTGCCACCACCACCACCACCCCCCCGCTCCCCAAGCTCAGGGTACAGGGTCAGCTGGCAGGGAAGGCAAGGAAAAGTAGGCAACAGCTCCTGTTTGGTGCGCATTCACCAAAGACCTGAGGGCTGCGTGGACATTGACTCAGACATTTTGGGAAAATACCTAGCAATGGACAACCCACTTTCTGGAGCTGTTTCTCAATAAAATTTCCTACTCTTAAAAAAAAAAAAAAGAAAGAAAAATACCTAGCAATAATTGTGCTCAATCCTAATAAGTTAAATGAATGAAACTTTAAATGTGTAGGAAGGAAAATAGGCAAGGACAACAGAAAGAGGCCAAGAGCAAAGAGACTTTCCAGAAGCAGAGAGCAGTCAGTGTCAGGCAGCAGCCAAGGGTTTTGCTGGAAGGTATGGGGGAAGCAACCAGAGAGGAGAACGGAAGAGGAGGAGGGGAGAAGGTGAGAGAGTCAACCCTTCTTGAGCTTGCCATTGAAGAGGAAGAAGAGAGACCTCAACAGTAGGGAGGGAGTGTGGACCCCACAGCACGTTTATGGGACCGATGGAAGGAGCTGGAGCTCCAGGGAACCAAGCAGAGGGAGAGGTGGGGCAGGACCCATCCACAGGCTCTCAGGCCAGCCCAGGCCCCTCTGGTTTTATATAGACCCCTGTGTGCCGGCTGGAGGCTGCAGTTGTAATTCTGCAGCTTGAACCAAGGTTAAAAAATCCATCCTATGGGCTGGGGATTTAGCTCAGGGGCACTGTGCCTGCCTTGCAAATGCAAGGTCCTGAGTTCGATCCCCAGTACCAAAAAAAAAAAAAAAAAAATCCATCCTGTCTGAAAGTTACCATCTGCAGCCCTATGTGTTTATGAGATAAGGGTTGCAGTGGGTCGAAGGAGGTCCTTAAAACTGGTGTGGTGGTGCATGCCTGTAATACCAGCACTCAGGAGGCTGAGGCAGGAGGATTGCTGTGACTTCAAGGCCAACCTGAACTACATAGACCCTGTCTCAAAAAAAAAGAAAGAAAGAAATTCTAACTTCACATCATACAGAAAATCCTCTTCTAACAATCAATAACCCATCAAGAGAATTTTACACAGACCAACAGAACTTCGAGAAACTAAAAGGGCATTTAGTCCAGATTTTCTCAACCTATTCAAACCCCCAACCAGCCTGCTTCTCAGGCCCTGACATTTCAGACACCCATCCACCCCTGGGGACAGCTTTGTCCTGCTTAAAAATTCACTGGGGTTCTGTGGTTTCTCCCAGTCTCAGAGGGTTAATTCTGCTTTATTTGCTGTAGTCTGAATGACAAAAACAACAGGTACTATATTTTGGTTTTCCAAATATGACATTATGACATTGAGTCTGCTTTCTCTGGCTGCAGGAACTGTGCCCCACCCCCGCCCAGCACTCTCACATGTCCCTAAGTGTTCTGCTGTCCCAAGGAGGTAATTATGGTTTTCTCCTCCTAGAAGTGGTTTTCACAGAAGAGCCAGGCAGAAAAGCAGTGCCCAGTGGGCCAAGCACCAATTACTCCTGTAAATTTAGGAACGTTCTTTGCAGAGTTTATACACAGGCTCCCAGCTTACCTCCCATCTCACACTGCTCTACTCACTCAGCATTCTTTCACACACAGATTCCCAGTCTCAGTGTACCCATTCTTTTTACCATTAACTTGTTCATAAAGGTGCCTGGGAGAGTGAAAAGTGCACTACATTAAGAGTCAGGGGGCTGGAGTCCAGGTCCTAGATTTCAGTTAGCTTTGTGGCCTTGGATTGGTCGCTTGGCCTCTCTGGGCTTCTGTTTCTTTTTATGAGAAATGGGAATGATCATTCTCCCCTGCCTTCCTGCCTCATGGGTGCATGTAGTTGTGAGGGTCAGATGAGGCCATGATGGTAGCAGTGATGGTGGGTAGCAATGGTCTGAGTCCGAAAGCAGCAAACCATGTTCAAATGGGAGAGATGAAAACTCCTGTGATGGGCAACCCTGTTTATCCTGCATTTTTGGCAGTTCCATCTTTTTTTTCCTGCAGTGCCAGAGATCTGACCCAGGGCCTTGTGGATGCCAGACAACTGCTCTACCATTGAGCAACATCCCCAGTTCTTTTCTTTTTAATTTTTTATTTGGAAACATAGTCTTGTTAAGTTGCCTAGGTTGGGCTTGAACTCTTTTTTTTTTTTTTTT